AAAATATTTTAATTTTATTATTATTGTTTCTAGCATTTGAAATATCAAAATGTCTTGATTTTCTTTAATCTTTAAATAAAAAGAGAAATTTGTATTTTATTTTTACCGATTAAGAGTTACGTGCAATTCCAAGTGATGAAGGGTGTGTCGACATCCTTCAGAAGTCTTTTTCATTCTTCTTCTTCTTCTTTTTTTCATTTTTCTTTTTATTAAGTTGATTGTTCTCTCGTTTCTATTCCCAATTTGAGGTTCTGTACAAGTCCCAATTTAAGGAGTTTTGAATCAAAATACTCATTGAGTAGGAGTGGCAACTGGGTCTCAAAGGATTGAGAAGTGCCTCCTCATTCTCACGGAAATTTTTTATGAGAGGCAAATTCTGCCCTCTAATTTTTGTTCCCTACAAGACATGGGGATTCTCATTCCTCATCAATCTATACTAAAAATGTAAATTTCAATCTTTAAATATAATCAATTAATATTCAAACACAATAAATAAAATTCTAAAAGTTTAAGTACAATTAATTAAAATTCTCCAAATATAAAACTAAATATAAATTCTCCAACCATAAACAAAGATGAATCCAATTTAATTTAATTGGGTTAGATTTAGATATTGATTTGGTTGAATTGTGTAAATTTGGATTAAATTTAATTTTTATTAAGTTGGATTTGAAATGTATTATAATGTATTGAGTTGAGTTAAATTTAAAATAAAATTAATTTAGATATTTTTGAATTTTACATGAAGATAAGATCCCGTAGAGCTCCATGAAATGAGAAAAATTTGTTGCATAAATTTATGGAGAGAAAATACCCCTGTCTTTACTCAATAAAAAAGAATATTTTTTTTCATCTCGTCGCCATGATAAGAATCCCCACAAGACCCGATAGAAATCGAGAGAAATTGTCATCTCTATTAATTAGCACCAAACCTTACTATTCTCATTGTAGTTTCATGGTGTAGTAAAAATATGAAGCTTCTAAAGGAGAGAATAGGGACAAATTAAAATTTTTAATTCAACAAAAAACAAGAACTGAACTAAATCAATGTGAACTAGTTAGGTTCCCTCCATCTTCATGTCTTTAAAAAACCAGTAGAGCATGTGCAAATTTGATTTCACAACTTCAACAATTTTAAATATGAATGTCTTAAAAATTCCAAACGTAAAGGTTGTTCTAAGTTCATTAATTTTTTTCATTTATTCCCAAACCTCATAAAATTTTTTAGAACTAGAGAAATGAAATCCATCTTTAGGTTGCGACGAAGGAAGAATGTTCTGTTGCAACCTTAAACCTAAAAAGGGAAAAGACAACTATTATTCATGAAAATTAAATTTTGTTATTTTTTCTATGTAAAAGTTTAAATTTTACCTTACTTCAATTAAGATTATAATTTACTATATCACCGTCAAATAATCCCTTATATGGAAAAAACAAAAAATTTGTATTTTTATTTTTAAAAAATAAAATAAAAATTTATCACCTTATTTAAAGCTTTAAAAAATTATATCTTTAAATAAAAAAAAATAGACACTATTTGTAATTCTTCTCTACAGCTTTTCTGTCAGTAATCAATCCCCCAAGTTTGACCTGTATCACGGAGTCAATTACAAGCTAACGGTAAACCTGGAAGATTCATTAGCATCCAGTTGGTACTTTTCCAAAGCAACGCATTTTTCTACTATTGAAACCATATGTATACATGTCTGCCTGGTAAACGCCGGTTCTGGGTTCCCTTTCATTTCTAGATTTGAACTACGAATTATAGACAATTCAAATCTATCATATCTTACCTCTGACGAGGTAAGAGGAATGACATGTGTGGACAATCAGGCCACCAAAGCTTTAGGCATCACAGGATGAGAGAACTTTATAACTCCACTAAGCGGTTCAATGGGTCACGCACTTCATTGAGAGAGATAGAATGTTTATTAGGTTTGAAAATTAAATATCTAATTGTTAACATTTAACAAAATTAATCTATTAATCATTATCTTTATTTAAAAAAAAAAAACAAAATGAGAGAACTTTATTATAAGGGGCTGCAAGCAAATAGCACTAGTGAGACTTTTTTTTAAGTTTTAAGCTCCACCAAATAAGCCCTAACGTTTCCCATACGGTAGACGAGACGTGAATGCACTATACATCTTCGGGGTAGACCTTATTAAACGAAAAAGAATTAAAACGGGAACATGCACCAAGTGTTTTTAATTTCTTCTCTTAGAAATTTGTCGCCAGCAGTTTTGCGCTACCTTTTTTTATTAAATCTTTTAGTATTTAAAAGATGTATTAAGTTTAATTTATATATCTTTATTTATAAAATTTAAATTTAAAATTTTATTTTTAAAAAATTAAGTTTCTTCCATTTATTTTTATACGTTTATTGGTAACAATTTTATATTCATGTATATACTAATCTGATTGCTTTGGGTTTGAGGAACTCAAACCATATTAGTTATGAGTGCATAGACAGTAGAATAGCGCGATCGATGTTTTTAAAAAACAATGAACACTTTCAATTATTTTGGGCGATATTCAACTTTGAAATCAATGGATGGAGCAACCTGAACCACGAAGGTGGAGCCCTTGGTGAGCCGCGGGTCTACGTGCATTTTCCATTAATTTGCTGCCTAGACAGTTGCCACGGTTCCAAATCCCAATCCATCAATAAATTTAGGCCAATCATGCAACCATAAAGAAAATTGTCATTTTATCTTACTTTGGATGATGAGTTACATTCAATGGAAATAGTAATTTTTTTTCGTTACCATATTTATTTTCCTTTCAAATCTATTATAAAATTTAAATTGAAGAATTTCAATTTAAAATTTTTTATCAATTTATGACACCTCATTGAAGATCAAGTAAAATTATCACTAATTACTCTTTAATCATTACCAACATCGGTCACAAAGTATGTCATTTTTCATGATTTTTATTTTTTATATTAATTTTTTATATTAAAAAATCACATTAAATTTCAACCAATTATTTAAAATTGAGAAATATCAAATTTTATAAAATGAAACATTTCTAATGCTTGTTTTATTGACTTTTGTTTTTGTTAATTAACCCTTTTATGTGATCTTAGATTTTTCCGATAAGTTGCCAATTACTACATGATTATGCGGTATAAACAAATAGAAACACTTTGACATCAGAAGAGAAGCCAATAATTCAAGAGACTGTACCATAGCGGCTCCTTCTTCTGTCCTTTCGTTTTTTTTGTGAAAAATGAAATCCACATGCATGGTTTTCCTGGGTAATTAGCGCATTAAAGTAATAAGCAAATTTTTTTTTATGGATCAATCCATGACGTATTTCTTGGCTAAATTAAGTTTGTTTATTTGTCCTAACTACTTGATGATCTACCCTCAACAACCCTTGTTATTACCCACGTGGCTGTCCCATCCATCTAACAAAAGCCTAGCAATTGTGTAGGATCCAAATACAACACTTGTTTCTTTCTTTTTCTTGTTTATTTCTTCTCTCTTTTTTCTTTTCTTTTATATATTAAGATTTAATTTGATACTATTAGTATGTAATTGAAGTTATAAAATTTTTAATTCTAAGAATATAAATTAAACTTTATTAATTAAAATATTTTAAAAAATTTATATAAATTTATATTAAATTCATATT